GCTTCCCTCCTCCACACGCACGCAGAGAGAGAGAGAGAGAGAGAGTTGCGCGTGATGATAAACCGATGCCTTCTGAGTGTTCCTTGACTCCTCACGGAGAGTGACATCCGCCGTAATCGAAAAGAACCCTTTAACTCTGAGTCCCGCCTCCTCCTTTTTTTCCCTTGCTTGTGTGTCACCCGCATGCGCATTCTCCTGCCGCCGCCGCGGCGTCACAGCACGCGCAATCGTGATTCTCGCTGGCCTCTGCTGCTGCGGGGATTATCAAGGCCGTGCGAGACAGTGGCACGGGAGGGAGAAGATGCTAACGTGCGGTACGCGTTTTTTTTTTTGGTTGTTGAGACGTGTGTACTCGTAACGAGTACTTTTTCTCTATTTCCTTATGTTTTCCCTGTTTCCCATTTACTCTTCTCGTTGCTTCACTGCTTTCTCACGATTGTTTGCGGAAAGCACGAAGAAACGTCGGTGGAAGCAAGGTGCGATAGGGTTGGTGATAAGGAAAAAGGGAAAAGGAAGGTCAACCACAGAACGGCGAGAAGGCAGGCGAGGGAGGAAAGAAAGGAAAACGAAGCCACAGCAGCGCATAGAGAACAGTAAAAGAGTGGAAACAAAAGAAAAAGGGAAGCGGGCGCTCTCTGAGAATTCAACGGGGAGTTTAAAAAAAAAAGACGTCTTGCGAGCTTTCACACAGAACGTGGCTGTAAAGCAGTTCTTGTGTGGGACTTGAAAGGCCACAAGGCGTTTAAAGTTGTTTTCATCTCAACCTCGTCAAGACGTCGGTGGTTGGCTACATAAATTCCAGTTGGTGGCCATCTCTTTCGCCCGAGCACCGGCGTGAAAAGAGAATGGCCTGCTCCTGCCATGAAAAAGTGGATCCGCAGCGATTGCGGATAAAATTGGCAAATGAGTGGTTTAGAGACGGCGTCGTATCAGAAAAAACCCCAACGTTGTACTGCGCCTCGTGTGAAAGCCCGGGGAACGTGTCGTCTGGCAAGAAACAAATCAAAAAAATTTTACGCGTGCTTTCCTTTTCCAAATCGAGGGAAGATGCGGATGCTGCGGGGGAGGGCGCCATGGAGGAACTCTTCATGTGTCTCTCATGCACCAGGTGTTTCTGCGCGCAACATGCAAAGGCCCATGAGGAGGAAGAGAACAGGGACATTGCGGATAGCGGCAATCGCCGTGGAAAACGTCACTACCTTTTTTTTGCTGTTCCACGTTGTGCAAAAGCGATGAAGACTTCGTCCGCGCCAGGGAAAAACAGGTCGGTGTTCCCAAAGTTTGAGGTAGATGGCCTTGAGCAAATACGCGAGTCTGGCGCCCTGACGCTGGAAAAGGAGAGAGAGATTACATTTCGTCCAGTCGGTGATTCACAAGGCTGGGTTTATCATTTATGGTGTATGTTTTGCAGCGAGAAGCCAGCACCAGTTTCCTCCCGGGATATTTCGGGACGTGACAAACTCCACGTGCATATCGAGCAGATAGGTGGCGTTATTGCAAGACTCCTTTTCCTCTTGTACGAGGGAATTGCAATTGAAATTCCCGTCGAAGGGTCTGCATTACTCCAGAGCAACACCCACTTAGGGGACCACGTGTCGCATGAACACAGCGATAGGGATCTTTACCTCACCCGTGATGTTATACAAAATATGGATACATTCAAGAGTCCTACGTCTTCAGTTGGGGCATCCTCTTTTGTATTCCGAGGATCAAAGGTAAGGTTGGATGAGTTGGTCTTAGCACATGTTGCCGGTATGGAGAATCGTTTTAACAATTGCTACTTTAACTCGGTGTTACAATGTGTTTTGAAGTGTAGTTTTTTTACGCGTTTACTGCTTGATCCGAATCTGAAACCAATGCCAGGCCCACTAACTCGTTGTCTGTACGATATAGCTCTTCACCTTAGTAAACAAACCGCTAATGATGTGAGGACACATGCACTATATCCATATGCGCGGGAGGTACTGAATTGTTTGCGCGCAATCTCACCCCTTTTTGCGAATCATGATCAACAAGATTCCCAGGAGCTCTTTTTGTGCATGGTCAATGGGGTGGCGGATGAGTTTGACAAGGGCAAATCCGAGGAGGAGAAGCAACGGGGTCGACGGTTACCCTTCGAGGGGGTTATTCGCACGGAGGTTGCCTGTTCGCAGTGTAAGAGCCGCTTTCCACGTGAGGAGGTGTTTATGGCCCTCTCTGTTCCCGTTGAGTCCTCTCTAGAGGAGGGGCTTCGCAAACTCTTTCAGACGGTAAAACTGCAGGAAAAAAATCAATACGCATGTGAGGAGTGTTTTAAACGGTTGGCGGAAAAGGAACAAGAGCGACATAACGCGGCCATCAAAGCCGAGAATCACCGAAAGACGAAATCCAAGAGGAAGGCGGCGGCGGCGGAGGAAAAGCGGAGTCTGAACTGCGTATATTCCGACGCTGATGTATCGACTTCCATCAGTCGTCTGGGCGGCACACTCGCCCTGCACCTGCTGCGATTTCAATTGGACGGTAGCGACTTCCAGAAGGTTACGCGCAACGTGGCATTTCCCTTGTCTCTCGATTTGAAGAATTTTGTTTCAGACGAGGTTCGACATGAGTACGCACGGGCGCACGACCTTTCTGATTTGCAGGCACGTTTCCCGCACAAACGAAGTGATATTTTGCTTTCCTGCTTGAAATCCGCGAATGGCGACCTTGAGGAGGCGGTGCGGATGTTGACGGACACGGAAGAAGGAGAGGTCCTGAGCCCCGCGGAAGATGCCCTGCTGGGGTCAAAGGCGGGGCAGACACCATTGTGTGCCTCCGGTGCAAGGGACAGCGCGTGCCATAGCAGTGGGCACAAGACCCGCGGCATGGGCTGTGTGGGTGAACCGTCACCGCCCTTCGCGAGGGCAACAAATGGTGCGATGGAACGGCAGGAGTGGCTCCCGTCGCTTAGGAGAGAGCTCGTTGGCATTGTGGCGCACCGCGGTTTCCTGCACGGTGGCCACTACGTTGCATACGTGCGACATGACAAGCAGCACAACACCTGGTTCCGCTGCGATGACGAGGAAGTGGAAAGAGTCGACGAGGAATACGTTCTGCGTTGTCAATCCGATGTGTATATGTTGTTTTACGAGTAGCAAGGGGCGTGCAGGATGCGAGATGGGGGGTACGCGAGGCCAACAATGCCAACGGGGGGACGAAAGGACGGCCGAATAAGTTGTGAAAGGCGAAGGCAGTGAACGCCGAAAAAAATGAAAATAAAACGAAATAAAGGAGGATGCTTTCGGGGAGCGTTGGCGTCCGCGGGTAATTAGATGGAGCGGGGAAGTGAGAAGACGGAGAGGAAAAGCGGGCTAAAAATCAAATGGGGCCCAACACTGAGGAAAAAAAACACACACACACACACGCACACACGACTGGATAATGGAAAAAGAAAGACAATACGTTGACCCAGCCGAGATAGAGTAGGGGGGGGGAAAAAAAACGTAATAATAAATAGGCATTATGCTCTTAGCATTAAGACACATATAAAAAAAAACACCTTTTCTGTGCCCGTTTGCTTGCTACTTGGATACGTATGGGCCTGCTGCGGGGAAGTGCCTTGGTTGTAGTTGTTTTTATTGTATACATTGGTGTGTGCTTCATAGGCGTTTGACAGTCGCACTGCTACTCCTGTGGCTCGGTGCGTGGAGATGTGGGCGTTATTTCAGTCATTTCTGGTTGAACGCTCTGCATGGTTGATTCTTTTTACGCATAGAAATATGCGTCTCCTAATTGGAAGCTACAGAGTGCCATCTTTCTTCCTTCGTTGCGGCACCACCATGCTTACTACTCCGGTTAGTTTTATCCACTTCTGCATTGTTTTATATACAGCCTTCTTTATTCTTCCTCGCCTGCCTGTGGGGCGCCGTATTTGCCGCCTTCTTGTTTATGTTGTGTCTTTTTTCTGCGTCTGGTCACGCGGCTCTTCTTCCCGGACATTCCTTACACTCACTTGCTTTTTTCTTTTTCTGGACCCAGGCAGCACGTTAAGAAAAGAGTGGGGAAGGCAAGGCGATGAGCGCGACAACGAGGCAGATGGTCAAGCCGACCGGCATTGTGCACCGGTACATGACGGAGGGTCAACGCGTGTGTGTGTGGCTTGTGCACGACACGCACATGAAGATTGAGGGCGTCCTTCTCGGCTACGACGAGTTCATGAACGTGGTGCTTGGTGATGCCGCAGAGGTGCATATAAAGACAGGTGAGGTGGTGCCGGTAGGAAAAATACTTCTTCGCAGTGATAATGTTGGTGTCATTCATCCCATAGGCGTCTAGACGAAGGGAGGCAGCATCATCGCTTCTTTACCCGTCACCTTTTTTTTTCTACTTCGTCCATACCGGCACGCCTCTGTGTGGCCTACGTGCATAACCGAAGGAATGAAAAGGGTGGGAGTGTGGAGATGCAGTGAGACGGTTTAATAAGAGCGGATTTTGCAAGGAAGACATCTCCGTGTTAACTGTACGGCTTCCTGCCGTGCATGTTTTTGTCGGTGGACTGTGGCCACATTTATTGGCTCGCAGTGATGTTGGATGCGTCCTTTGTTTGTTTGTCTGTTTTTGTTGTTCTTGCTGGTTTGTTTGTGTGTTCTCCTCTCTTCCTTCTTCGGGACACACGCAGCTTCACCGTGGCGTGAACTGGGGTTGGGGTTGGGGTTGGGGTGCGTGGCTGCATCACATAGAGAAGTAGCCGCGGCCTCAACGGAGCAAAGGACATAGATACGCGGCCTTTCTTATTGCAGGCCTTTTAGAGAAAAGGGGTCCTTCACTAGATCATTGCCGACCCCGCGGCCGCTACATAAAAAAAAAAAACAGAGGGAAAAGGAAAAGGGCGCGAAAAAAGAATCAATCAAAGGAGATAAAATGGGCTGCGGGGTGTCTCACCTGCCTCCCAACGCCTCCGAGGCGAGGCCGCTTCACAAGTCGATGGAAATCGTGCCCTGCGCCGACAAATGTACCAATCGCTTTCCTGCCCACCCGACACAAATTGCGGAGGAAGCGCACGAGAATGGCATCTCTTCAGGTCGCCCGTCGGCTGATGAAGGATCCGTGAGCAGCACTGACTCACCGCCGCCCCGTTTTTCGGTTTCCCATGACGTGGCCGGTGGTGACGGCCGCGCCGATGCTTCCATTCAGGTCTGTAGCGGGAGTGATGGTAAGCATGGCGTGAACCCTGCCCTTGAGTGGAGGCGTTCCGCCTCACCCGTGCCTGGTCTCTCGGAATACGCAACTCTCTCACTGCGCCACGTGCACAAGAAGTTGAAACACAATCATCGTGTGTTTAGAATATGTCTCACAGGTGGTCCTTGTGCGGGGAAGTCGACGTTTCTCACGCAACTGCAGGCGAAAATGCCGCAGCGCACAGGGTACAAAGTATTTTGTGTCCCAGAGGCGGCGACATTGCTTGTAACGGGCGGTATGGAGTGGAGCGGAGACCTCATTGAGGAGCAGCAGCTGGCACTTCTCCGCGTGCAGATGGCGCTTGAGGATCAGTTCTACAGCGTGGCCATGGCTTGTGGGGCGCCAAGTATTGTCATTTCTGACCGTGGAACGATGGATGGAAGCGCCTTTTGCTCCAAAGATGTTTTTGCACGCATTGGAAAACGTCTGAATGTGTCGATGGAGATGCTGCGCGATCGCTACGATGCGGTCATTCACCTTGTGACTGCTGCCTGTGGTGCCAGGGAGTACTACAACCTGGACAACCCCGCCCGCTACGAAGGCATTGAGGAGGCCGTGGAGTCGGACAAGAAGCTGCGGCAGGTCTACGTTGGCCACCCCATGCTGCGGATTATTGACAATTCTACGACGTTTGAAGAAAAGATAGAGCGAGGGCTAGCGCTGGTCGGACAGATTATTGGGCAGAAGTTTTCAATGCGTAACACGTCCTATTATTTGCTAAGTCACTGCCCGAAGGAGTTGCCAGTGAAGAGCGTCGCATCTGCACTCACCATCACGGTGTTGTGCAACAGCCACATTAATGACATTCGGCTCCTTATTCGACGAGAACATCCCTCGGGAGAGTGCATGTACTTCTTTAACTCCATTCGAAGTATGGACAAGCGTAGCCCCAGTCGGCAAAGCATAGGGTCGGAGGGCAGCTTCATGCGAGACGCCTCCACTGCGCCACAGGTGGAAATTCAGGCCGTGCAAAGCGCCTTTATGGGCACCATGGACGCCGATCAGCGCGCCAAGAACGAGCAACGTATCAGCAGTCGAGAGTATGCCATTCTGATGCGGCACCGCGACACACAAAGACGGGATGTCGTCATGAATGCTGTTCAGTTTATCCACGACGATGCCAGGTACGAAGTAACCACCATTCTGGAGCCGTCCTGGGCCGCAGGAAAGCAGGCATTGACGCTTGAGTGCGACGACCAGGAAAGGGAGACGTTTCCTTCGTTTCTTGTGGTGGACCGCGAGGTGCCGATTGACAGCCTGTCCACCGCCTTCCTGATAGCACACACAGAGATGGGGCCACTTTACACGTCGCTTGCCTACGCGCCGGTGTTTACGCGTGGCCTCCGCACGAGGGGAGCATGCGCCGATACTGAGGGCAGCCGTACCCACAACAACAGCAGTGGTGGTGAGGATGGCCAACGAACCCCACAGAAGTTGAGGCGACATGCTGAAGATGAAGTGGATTCGAACAAAAAGACAGTGAAGCGGAAAAAAAAGAAGCACCACGCCAAGCGCACTACTGCGGATGATGGGGAAGCGTCGTCGTTGTTGCAGACGCCAGATGAGACCGTGGAAGTCACTGCCAAAGTGGAGGAGACCGTTGAGGTGGAGAAAGGTTCTCCGAATCGTCTCAAGCGGCCCTTACTTGGCCCAATTAACGACCTGCCGGCACCACCAACGCCACCGATACCTCCTCCTCGTCTTCCTAGCGGCCCGCCCACTGCAAACCCTCGCGGAGCCATAGCGAGTATGCACTGATGATGCATTTCGTTACTTTTAGAATTAATGTGCCCTCACTTTTTAGATGTCAATTCTTAGATTCACCCCTTCATTCGATGATGTTGTTGTTGTTTTTTACGCTGAGTGGGAGACAGTTTTTTAATGTTTTTTTTTTGAACTTGCCTTTCTCAATTTATTCTTGTGTTACCTATTATTATTTTTTGTTTCTGCAATACAACATTTTTCTGGCTGCCCCATATCCAGCTGGCCTGCCTGCAATGTACGTATGTATGTTGACGCTGGTGTGTGTATAGACATCTTTTTTACATGCATTACACGCGTGTACGAGATATACGCGATCATTATTGTGGCTGCTCTCACGTGCGTGATGTCTTACGAGCATTGAGAACCTTTGCGATGTGTGAGGAGGAAAAGAGGAGAAAGGAGAAGGAGTGCGTGCTCTTGCGGAGGGGGGGGGTAATGTCGTTATTTCATTGCCTTGGTGTGACATGCGGAGGAAACGAGGTGGATCGAAAAATAAAAAAGGGACTAACGTTTGTCACAGGGGTGGCTTCCCCGCTCTCGAGACGTATTCGGCGCCGAGGCGTGTCTGTGTGTGTGTGGCGCGCGTGCGGTCGATGGAGTTTTCATTTCTGTTGTCCTTTCTGTGAGTGTCAGCGGTGTGGTCAGGTGCGAGTTGGGTGCAACGCACTCCTGCGCAGCGTCTTCATTTGCTTTGCGTGTGTGTTTGTTTTTCTTTTCTGCGTCTCGTGCCGGCCGCTGGTCGCAAAGAGGGTGTTCCGAGAGGAACCCGCAAAGGAAAGGAGGAAGAAAACCGTCCGGGCAAGAGCCACACGGGGACAAGGAAGCGGTGGACGCGGACGCAAGGGGGAAGGGAGCGCAGCAACGGGGGCGCGAGTCGTCTGCGGCGTAACTCAGAACCTGCCGCCGGAGTAGGAGGAGGAGGAGCAGGCGCAGTATATACACATACGGACAAAAAAAAGAAGGCCTACAACATAAGAAGAGTGAGAGGAGGCGGTAAATACGAAGTTGGAAGTAAAACGGGAACAGACGGCGGTAAGGTGACGCTCAAAGAGGAGGTGGTTGGGGTCGCACCGTGGAGAGGTCCGGATGGCCAACCGTACGGGGGAGTTGGAGCCCGTGGAATGCCTTGTTTGTGCGACGGCTTGTGAGGCGATAGCCGTCTTCAACTGTGGACACTACGTGTGCTACGTCTGTGGGCTGCACATTCACTCCATTGATCATGGTGCGTGTCCAGTTTGCCGTGAAAAGGGTGAGACAGTTATTGTGACTCGCACTCTGCCAGGCGAGAACGACGATGAGGACAAGTTCAGCACGGCATCGGTCCAGGCCATGGAGGATGTGTCTGTGTTCGACACGCAATTGCAGTGCTTTGTGCAGGGTAACAGCTTGGCGACTGAGATGAGCAAAATGTACGAGTGTGTGTGTCCTGTGCCCAAGTGCTGGCGTAGGGGCGTGCAGGAGCCCTTCTGTGAGCTGTATCCTCTGCGGGAGCACCTTAGGATTGAGCACAGGATGGAGTACTGCGGTATCTGTCTGCAACATCGATCTGTGTTCCTGTGCGAACAACAGGTGTACTCGCGGGAGACGTTGCAGCTGCACATGGATGGGGTGTGCCCACACGATGCCCCCGCGTTTTTGGGGCACCCGTTTTGCAGATTTTGCGCCAAGTCACGTTTCTACGACGAGGATCACCTTCTTGAGCACATGAAGCACCATCACTTTACGTGTGACGTGTGCAACCGTAGCGAGTTCCTCTTCAGGTACTATGAAAATCGTCAAAAACTGCTTCAACATTTTGAGCAAGCGCATCAGTTGTGCGATCATCCCGCCTGTGCGTCACTCGATCCAATGATGAGGGTGTTCGCCTCGGACTTGGAACTGGCGCTTCACAAGCAACGCGTGCACGGGGTGCGTTCGCGGGTGGCTCTGTTCATGGCAGATAACTCTTCCGCAAACCCCAGCAGCAGCCCGCCCACAACAACGTCCCCCGCAACGAGGGGCAACGCAAATGTCATAAGCATTACCTTTGATCACGTGCATCGGCAGGATACGGTGAAGCTGATGCAAAAATGCGCACATAGCGGCGGCGGTGTCAGTGCGGGTGGGCCCAAAGGGAAAAGAAAAGGAGGTGACAAAATTCGTATGGGCTGGGTCCGGGGCGACGCGCCTGGATTGCCGCTGCATTTTCGGATTCGCGGTGTGTTGAGCCCTCTCATGCGTAGAGGCCGTGAAAGGGCGGCGGAGCCACACTCCGCATTAGCTTCGGGTGCCTTTGGCGTGTCAGAGAGTGCTGAGACGTACAACTCGAAGAATAAAGTGCCACTGGACCGCAACGAACTTCAGTGTGCCTTGGATGCCGCTCTGCGAGAAGAACTGCCTGAGTTGCATCAAATGCAAGACTTTCGGGCGTGTACGGCGGAGTTCATGAGTGGAAGGATGTTGACCATGCGATACTACAACTGCCTGCGCACCGAGTTCTTCCCGTCCGAGGGGGCCTTTCAGAAGGTGTTCCCTCTGCTTGTTGCCACCGTCCCTCTCCCGGAAAGACGCGATGCGCTTGTGCAGATTGAGAAGATGCGACACGCACCGGAGGTGCTACATGCCCAGCGGATGCAGGAGGAGGACGCGAAGAAGAAAAGGGATGCTGAGAAGTGGCAGAAGCAGTATGAGCTCTTGGCACGCATTGAGCAGAAGTCAAACCGGCGCAAGGGAAACGTCGCCGGCGGACACAACGTCTGGCTGGAGAGAGGTTCGGCCGCTCTTCTTAGCCGGGCGCACGAGCAGCAGTCCGAGGCGCAACCGCAGGAGCAGCAGAGGAGGTCACAACAGCCCTCGCGGGGCAACAACAACAATAACGGCAGTACTCGCCCTTCTTCTGCGCAGGCCTCTCTTCCCGCGACGGCACATTGGGGCACAACACATGAGCAACAGCAGCTTCGGCCTTCGTTGCTTCCCACAGGAACAGGATATTACCAAGACCCGGATGATTTTCCGGAGCTGCCCACAACAAACCCACGTCTGGCATGGGGACGGTCACAAGCGAAGCGGTCTCAGCGGCCGAATGCGTGGAACTGCAAAAGGATCTAAGCTGAGTTAGGAGGACTGGTGGCTGGGATCGGCGAGGACGAGGGGAAGGATGCAACAGACGACAAGGGCGAGAGGAGACGACGCTGAGGAAGAGGCAAGTGTAGCAGAGGCCTCCAAGAGGTATCAGCGGCAGCTGGCAGCAGTAACGGTGACAAGAGTAGCAACGCATTACGAGCGCCCTTTGTTGCTGCTACTTTGGGTATATATATATATATATATATATGCATGCGTGTGTGTGTTAACCTAGCTTTTTTTTTTGCTCTTTCTTTGCCTCCTTCGTACTCCGTCTTTCCGTTGCTTCTGCTTGACAGGGCGTCCTTCACCCGTTGACCGCTGCAACCAAACGGCGTGGACAGGCGTGCGCCACAAACACAAATTACCCCAACGCGCGTGTCTCAAATGAAGACGGCCTCTTCCTCCGAGCCACCGTCACGAACGCACTCCATAATTAAAGAAAACTAAACCAAAAAAAAACAAGCAAAAAAAAAGGGTCTTTTCGACAAACACTTCTACTGTTTTCACTTACAACCGCTCACAACCGTGCGCAGGTTCTTCTGTCCCTTAATTTCCACTTCTTCTACACACACAAGTACTGCGAGTGAAGACGGAATGAAAGCAAACAATAATTTTTTTTTTATGCGCGCACGTCGGGGTTTCTGTGCCCAACCCCATGTAGGAGGAATGCCCCACCTGAAAAAAAAAATGGGGTTAGGGGCGGGAAGGCCGAGATTGGATGTGCATTTGAAGCTGTGCGGGTACTCGGGCGATGAGGAAATGTCGTTTACGTTCCCCGCCCTCTTTTGTTGTTGTTGTTTGCAGCTTTCTCGCTATCTCCCTTCCTGTGTGTGTGTATGTGTGTCTTCGCGTTTTTTTTTTACTTCACGCTACTAACAGCGGGACATTTGTTCTTCTGGCATACGCCCGCTCGTTTTTCTCTGCCTCTGAAAGGCCTCTCCCAGGGGCGACTGGCTGTGCGGCACATGACTTCGCGGTGTGGCAAACCACTTTGGCTGTCGGCGCATGTTCTCCTTTTCTCTCCTCCTCTTTCACCTGAGTTGTCGACGTACATGTTGTACGTGGCGCACGCACGCACGCACGCACACACACACACACACACAAAACTGAGGGGGGGAAAACGGGAGGAAAAAAACTCGAAGGAAGAGAGGAAGCGGGGCCCGTTGGAGTGTTGCTGTGACATCCCATTTGCCTCATCCAAACTTTCATTCACTCGCGTTGTGCCTCGCCCTCGGAGATGTCTGTTCGAATGGATACGACGCTCTACAGTGAGCTGAATCGCCTCGAACGCGGTGACTTCCTCCTTTTTCACTGCGTGCAGCTCTCTCAACACGAGCGCGATGTGCAGCGATACTTCTTTGGGTGCTACTTCCCGCGCTGGTGTGGGTTCTACGTGGAAGAGCTGCGGGAGCTGCCCGGTCCGTTGGGCTACAAGGTGCAGCGCCACTTCCCCGCCTACCCCTTTGACGTGTACCTGAAGGACGATGGGGAAAACTTTCTCACGGACGACTTCCAGGAGGGCTCCATATTCACCCTGGGGGCCCCGCAAAATCAACGTGATGACGGACCGAAACGGTACAAGGTAGTACACTGCGATGATAGCCGCTTGCGCACACGTACGGGCACAACACTCGCGGCAATTGGCAACGACGTCACGACGACGCTGAATCAAACGCACCGCGTGCCTGGCGAGGCTGTAGATCTCCTGCGTGAGATTAGAGATGCGTACGTTGTATATGCTGGCAATGGTATTCCTGAGATTGGTATTAAGGCCATGGGACGCCACTTTCGCCACGCCAGTGAGGATGGTAAGCGGTGGATGTCGTTGGAAAGTATTGCAAAGTTTGTTCGCGACTCGCGTGCCTTCGCCACCACGCTTTCCTTCCATGACACGCAGCAGACTACATTTAGAATTGACGCCATTGCCAAATGCATTCATGAGGCTTTTCCACAGAACGAAGACGGCTGCATTGACTACGATTTTTTCATGGATTACGTGCGTGGCCCGATGAGCCAGAAGCGAAAGGATGCCGTATGGGAAATATTCCGCAAGTTGGACTTTGATGGAAACGGCTACCTCAACATTTTGGACATCCAGGCCCGCTACAATGCACAGGAGCACCCTGTGGTGGCGGTGGAGGGACTCTTCTCCGCGGACAAGCTCCTTAAGGGCTTTCTCACAGTCTGGGACGAGAACAAGCAGTACGGATTGGTGCCATATACTGAGTTTATCGACTACTACAACGGCGTGAGCGCCGTCATCGCGGACGACGACGTCTTCTTTGATATTCTGCGAAACCAGTGGAAGGTGATGCGTGACTGGGGAGGAGTCCTGGGGGGGACGCGGCGGGGGAGGTGACGCCTCTACGATGTAAAAGAAATGCAGGAAAGAACAAAATGCAACAACAACAACAACAACAACATAGAAGACGAAGCAAGCCGAAACACAACGCCAAGAAGGAAGCACAAAAGAAAAAAAAACTCACTCAAAATGTAGTTGAGAGTGTTGTTTTGTGTGTCTGCTTCCGACAGCTGACGGGGCCTGAACGCATATGCAATGTACTCGCTCTCTTTTTGTTGTTATTGTGTTTTGTGGGTGTAGGCGCATTTCCGTTGCTTGGCCTTTTTGCGTTCTGTGCTGTTTGTTGCTCGCGTGCAGCATTGCCTCTCGTGCAATAATATATGTCTTATCTGCCACTTTTTGGCCAGTCGCCTCGGTGCTTCTTTCCGACTTCACTTATTACTCTGATCCACACGCACATGCATCTCTAGCAGCTGCTTCCTACTGGGGCTGGAGGTATTGCACTGTCGCTTAGCGTACATGTCAGGCCGACTGGTGGTGGTGAGCTCCGCTAGCGCTGCCGCCCCCTCTTTTTCCAACCACAACAGCTATTCTGACGCGTGCTACTTTATCGTCATAGAGTCCCCAACAAGGTGCGATGCTGGCGTGTATCAGGGGGAGGCCACTCCGCCAGTAGGCAGGAAGCTGAATCTAGCGGAGGGTAATGTGCCCGAGGAGGAAGTGAACAATTGCACCTTTACGAACGGTTCCTCGCAGGATGCTAGGGATGAGGTTGGAGTCGTTGTTATTACTGTGGATACCGTCTCTGGTCAGCTTCTGCACACGGGTGTTCCACAGAAGGATCTGTTTGCCTCAATGTCGGACGCCATGCAGGCAATCTCGACGTTGTGCTCTTCCACTGCTTCCGCATGCGAGGTGCACACTGTGTGTGAGTTTGCTGCCTTCGCCGGTGGGTGTCTTACTGAGGAAACCATAAATTTGCTCTTTATTGAGTCGACTACGCTACTGATGAGGAGCAGTGGTGCGACTTGCAATTCTCATTGCGTAGCTGACGAGTTTAACCCATCATTTGCCTTGCCGCTGAGCAACTGCATTCCACCACTTTTCTCTGTTGACAAGGCACAATGGTTCAATATTCCGCTGCGAGTTTCGGTACCGGCTCTGCAGCAGCCTCTCACAAGCAACGGAGTGCATCCTTGGAAGCTCGGTAGTCGTAGTTCAACATCCTGTGGCGTCTCGTCTAGCGTGTTGGGTGGCGCTATGATGCCGCCCTACCTCTACTTTTCACCAGTTGTGGATGTGACACATTGTTGCGTCTTTAGGAATGCCGTGATGCGTTCGGTGGCCTCCTATAAGGCGGGTAGTGGCAGCAATCCTTCACGGGCTGCCAGTGTTGGTCGGAATGACAACCCTGTTTCAGCCCCTCTGTGCATAACTGAACTTTTTCCACCACTTCCCACGCAAATGGGCCGTGATGCTCTAGGCCACTGTGATTGTCTCTGGAACGAGGAGCTTATTCGCTTCTGTGACGTGTTTGGTCTGGGGGAGTGGTGTTGTCGTTTGGCGCTTGGTTCATGCACCACCGTCCCTTTGCCGTATTCAGATGCTGCCCCTTCTCTTGCCCTTCTCGTTGTTCGTCTGAGTCGTCTGGCATTTCCGGGGTGCTGCTACGAATATACGATATCGTCTGCGAAGGTGCAGTTAGACCACTATGTATCAACGCTTGAGACGGAGTTTCAACTGATTACCCTACGTGAGCCGTTGAGGCGTCAGTGCGATGGAAAGGGAACGGAGTCTACTCGTTCATTTACCTGGCGTCGGGGCACAGATTTTGCCGGTCACAAGAACATTCTGGAGCAGAAGGAGCGGTTCAAGGCCTACACAGAGCTATTTGTGGATCCGCTGCCTCCACGCGAGGATCAAGTGAGAGGCCTTTTCTCTGCATATCTGGAGCGATACGGACCGGGGACGAAAATTTATTTGGCGCACGCGGGGAGTGTGATGTTGCAGGGGGTCACCTTAGCACGAGACGCGGATCAGGACTTGAGTGGCTCCCAAAGATGCAATTCCCCCACAACAGGGGTAAAATCGCCCATGAAGAAACGACGCATGAGCCCTTTGGCCTCGCCAGGGAGGCAAGGTAAATCGTTTGTATCGCACTTTGGGGCTGCCGTGTTGGGGCACCGAGGTGAGGTAGGCGCTGGTGCGGTAAATTCGACTCCTGTGAACGCGAGACTACAATCCATTCTTCAATCACTTGCTGGACATGTCAAAGCGCATGGACTCCGTCCTACGGTTGCTCTCGGAGCGTTATGGCCCCCTACGCCCCCCTCCTCTTCCTGCGTTGCGGCTACGCCAGCGGGCACGGTATCAGTGAATGAGGAAAAATTCTTGCAAGCCTTTTGGGGAAGGGAGTTTCCTGACGTTACTCAAGAGAAGACGTCAGATCATGAGGTGCCGCGCGTGTGCGTGAGTGACGGGACCCAAGTAAGCACTATTGCATCCATTATTCTCTCGCTTGCTTGGATGCTGAGCTGGTTGTGTGGCGAAGTTGCTGCGGGGAGGGATGCGGTTCAATTTTTGCTTCAGTCTGAGGATTGGGTGGAGGATGTAATCCGTGTGTTGGGCAACTCCGCGGCTGCTACGCCTGGCCTTCGCACGGTTTTAGTAAATCAACAGGCGGTGAATCGGGCAAAGCGTTGTCTTCTCGAAATTTGTGTAGGAGCCCCAGTTGCGTTCAGCCCAGTCGTGTGGGCGACAGCGCAGTACATTGAGCAGCTGTCTCATTGCGTCACGGACCACGTTTCTGTGCCCGGTGGCAAAGAGGAGCCCAAGGATCGTCAGTGCACAGGAATCGCAAGCAGGACAATGCACGCGTTTCTAAAGAAGTTATTTCTTTCGGAGGGCGAGTTTTATCCCAGCGAACTTGTGCGACACCGGATCGTGCTTCTCTCACATCCATCGCGGCTTTCCTCTATCATCAACGTTCAAATGCTGGTTTTGCCTTCGAAGGTGCAGGACTCCGCGGTGTCGTCGGATGGGGCAGAGACTGCCTCTACTGGACCCCGGGAGAGGCTGTTCCCATTTACCCCCATGCGTCATTTGTATCCTCCCACCTCATGCGAGGAGATGCTGTCTACTGTGTCGTCCTCGGATGAGGGACCCACACCGACGCGAAGTATGTTGCACGGACTTCTGCACCCTTTCTCTCAACCCCTTCGTATGCCGTCCTGCTTTGAAGTGGTGGAGTTTACTATTGCTTTACCTTCCCTTTCATACGTCACGCATCTGGCCTTGCTGGTGGCAAACGCAGTTCAGATGGCACCGTATGCTGCGGTGCTCTCTCTTTCCCTTTCGACCTCCTGCTACCTGGGTCAGGCACATGAGAGGGTTGTCTTGGAAGATGCTTCGCTCCCACTTTCTGTTAACAGTCGATCATGGAAGGGCCGGCAAACGTCCCCGCAGTTAATTTTCTTTGAGTTGTGCCGCCCTTCCCACGACAAGGTTCCCTTCTCCACTCTGGAAGAGGTAGACGCTGGCGTTGGTGTGTCTGGGCGCAGCTTCAATCAAGCTATACCGGTTGTCGCGCGTTACCTGCGTCTCTCGCTTCGCGGTTCAGGCTGCCATCCGATGGCGCTGCCACCCATTTTGGTCTTTGGTGAGCCTCTGGATTTCATTCCGTGCGAAGAGCTGGACGCCGTCGTCGGCCGCCACACAACGTTGCGCCGCGTGCTTTGCGCGGTACGGTCCTCCTCTACATGGGGGTTTGAAAACAACCTGCCAGTTGCGTTTACCAGAGCGACGCCGCCTCACTCTCTCGTGACGGCTGCAGCTAAAGCTGCTCTGGGTGATCCTTGCGAAGCTGAGAGAGCAAACAGCCGTCCTGACGCGGATCGGGCGAAGGAGGATGAGCTTGCAAGAGCACCGCGCGCACACGGTCAACAGCAGCTTGCCACGTGCGTGGCGGCGCGGGGGCGGCAGGAGATGTACCTGCAGAAGGTTATCGGCGTTATTCCTGCAGATCTTTTTGAATTGCGCTTCGACGTGACTGTGGCGATGGAGGCGAAGCGGCTTCAGTGCCACGTGCGCCGCTGCTACCGGGATCTGAGTCTGTATCGCATGGGCGTCCCGCGCTGGGTCATGAATCCAGCATACCAGGTCTTCCCGCACTCCGCATTCCACCGCTCCCAACTTCCAGAGGAGGCAGGGGACGTGGAATTTATCAAGCGCCGACAGAGGGCCCCGAACGGGGACTCTCGCGCTGGTGCTTGTGGCAGCGTCGAAGAAAAGAAAACAGCTAGTGTGAAACACAAGGAGAAAAAACGATGCTTTCTTTGTCCTCGTCAGTTTTCGTGGTTTTCAGGCGCCAAGGAGTGCGACCGCTGTCGACGCCATGTGTGTGAAAAATGTCTTGCAACGAATCCTGTGCGTTTGCCTGAGCTTGGTATTTATGATCGCAGTGCATGGGTGTGCCTGGCGTGTTTTGAGAAAGTTATGCGGCTTGAGGATATTCTGAAGGCTTTTACCTGGAGCGAGCGTCTTGGTGAAGTGGAGAGTGACGTGGAAATGGACGAAGCAATCGATTTCTACGCACGCTGCACAACACCCCAGCTGGCGTCTATCCTTGCCCTGTGCCCCACTCCTACGCATAGCAGGTACTTGTATGCAGGCTGCTTACAGGCGTCTGTTAAACAGCCCTATCAGCTGACAATGTACCCACTGACACGTGTGGTGAATGCGCCTGGGATGGACGATGCCAATAGACCGCTCTTCGAAGAGGTGCTCGGTATCATGGGAATTGACCAGACTGTTTCTGTCGGATGGCGCTGCGTCACCGACGAGGAATGGTCAGCGTCCATTACACGCGTCAGCCGGCACGTGATTCTTCTCCTTCCTCATGTAGCTGTGGTGTCGCATGGAGTACTACGATGCATGTTGTTGGGGAAACTCCGTGGAAGCATTGAGGTTCAGCTGCACTTGGGGAATTCCTTGCATGCCCTTGAGTCCCTGCTTATAGCGCATATCGGCAACCCCGCGGTGTCTCTCGACGAGGCTGGTGAAAACCCTCTGAGGGAGGTGTTGCTGCAGCGCGAGGCATTTACCCCACCTCGGGACGTAAGGGCGGAGTTGGCAATTCCAACAGCAACACCGCCCACGAATATGACGTCAACGAGTACTGCCGTTGCGACTTCATCTGCAAGCAGTACAATGGCTCAGCTTGCCGCCCTCTTTTTTATTGGATCCGTCAGTGATCTTTTGCTTCTGCAAGTGGAACATTTTTCCCTCTGGGGTCGATTCACTTCCGATCCGCCACACGTAAACGCGTCGTACTACATGTGTAGACCGGATTATTCTCGTTACGGCGCGTCTTCGTCGAATATGATGTGCGGCACGAGTGGTGTGTTGGGTATTGCCTCGCTTCCCCGCATGCTTCCCATGACACGTCTTGTCCCGCAGCGCAACGTTTTTTCACACAACGGCTGTGAACAGCTTTTGGTGGAGTTTGACTTTGGTGTTCCTGTGACCATCTGCGGCTTCACTCTGGAACTGCACCATCCCGCGTTGATGACGGCGATGCACGAAGGCATCGCGACGGCACTGCGCCTCATTGGCGTCACAGCCTCGGGCTACCGCGGCAACATGGGCGTATTCCAGCTGCCGTGGCCTCCCCTCCTTTCATTCTCACCGGCTGCGTCCTTGTCATCTGAGGGAAGTTTCCTTGACATTGCTTCATACGCGTACAGTCTGCCGTCGACTGCCTATGGTGTCGTCTCGGTGCTTGCCGAGGTGGTTGAGTGGCGGCTCGCTCTTCATGCCGTGGGTAAAGCGAACGTGAGGAGGAACAGGAGGCGTCGCAGCGGCGAGGCGATGGAGACAACCCCCAAGCCTGAAGTTTCCTCCCGACGCAAGATTTATCTGGGGCGGATGCAGTTCTGGACAAGCGCCAATGCGAAAACGCAGCGCATGGTGAGAAGCCACACGTATACCTCCATTCATACCGCATTTGGTGACACGCAGTGATAGTCGCTTTGTTCCTTTTTATCCTCCCTTGTTTTTCACCCCCCGTCATTTCTCTCTCTTTTTTTTTTGTCCTCTTACAGGGCAACGCAGCTGTTGTGTGTGTGTGTGTGTGTCCAACGCGAACGTGGTCTCTGGGAAGTGTTCTCGCACCCCCGGGGCCACGCACGCAGGAAAGAACCACGCAAAAGAACAGCAGGGCGGAGCCCCACTGGAGGCGCGTCCTCGTTGCCTATCCTCAAAAAAGTGTTTGATGCAGCTGCTTTTTGGGGCGCCTTCGCGTTTGCTGGGTGCAGGGTGTCTCCCTGTGCATGGATGTGTGTGTGTGTGGTGAGGACAAGGTGAGAGCCGCCCCTCTTTTTTTTGTTTATTATTCTTCTAATGGTCGTTTTGCTTTTGTTGCTTTCATTCCGTGTTGTTGTTGTTGTTTCG